GCCTAGAGTTCATATTTAAGCACTGCCCCTTTCTGGCTATATTGAGTAAGCAAGTCACAGAATTTCTCTGACCCCATTTATAAATTAATTTTTAAAACCTGTTTTCCTTATCTGTAATAAGTGGATTTTAATAGCAGCTACATCACAGTTGCTGTAAGCATGAATGGTGCACAGTAAGTCTTCAATAAACTTTAGCTATCATTGTCTTTTTGTACAACTCATTCTATTAAGTAGGTCAGGATGCAAACTGCTTACTTTAAAGGACATTCAGCAGGCTCCAAGGGTTCATAGAAGTACTGAATTGAAGAGAAGTCTAGTTAAGGCAGAGAAAGATTTGTCTAGTTTTGAGTGTGATTTTATATGTATCTATATACATAGTTTTTTTATGTGTATGTTTGTCTTTAATATCTGTATCTCTGAAGTACTCATATTACATTAGGTCCACTGTGGTGGGGAGGAGTAAGGTTTAGTTGCAGTCTCACAAAGAACAGAACATAATTTTGTTAATTGCCAGAAAATAATTCTGGCAAGATGAAATATAAAATATTATTTTTACTCTATGGATGTGTTCTTTTGTAGCCTAGATGCCAACTTTTTATAAATCGACCAATGTACTGAAGAAACTCACTTAAGAAAACCTATTTGAAAATCTTTTTTTTTTTTTTTTTGAGAGGGCATCTCTCATATTTATTGATCAAATGGTTGTTAGCAACAATAAAATTCTGTATAGGGGACTCAATGCTCAATGCACAATCATTAATCCACCCCAAGCCTAATTCTCGTCAGTCTCCAATCTTCTGAAGCATAACGAACAAGTTTTTACATGGTGAACAAGTTCTTACGTAGTGAATAAGTTCTTACATGGTGACAGTGCAAGGGCAGTCTTCACAGAAACTTTCGGTTTTGATCATGCATTATGAACTATAAACATAAACAATCAGGTCAAATATGAATATTTGTTTGATTTTTATACTTGATTTATATGTGAGTCCCACATTTCTCCCTTATTATTATTATTTTTTTTAAATAAAATGCTGAAGTGGTAGGTAGATGCATGATAAAGGTAGAAAACAGAGTTTAGTGTTGTAAGAGAGCAAATGTAGATGATCAGGTGTGTGCCTGTAGACTAAGTGTTAATCCAAGCTAGACAAGGGCAATAAAACATCCACAGATGCAGAAGATTTCTCTCAAAACAGGGGGGGTGAGGTTCTAAGCCTCACCTCTGTTGATCCCCAATTTCTCACCTGATGGCCCCCCTGCGACTGTGCCTGTCTTAGGTTGTTCCTCCCTTGAGGAATCTTACCCATCTCTGGCTAACCAGTCATCTTCCGGGGCCCTGCAGGGAAATGTAAAGTTGGTAAATGAGAGAGAAGCCATATTGGTTGAAAAGGTTAGCTTTTTACTTCTTTGCAGATTTATGCCCTGTGGCTTCTGTGCCCAGCATTTCTCTTGAGGTATCTTTACCACTTGGAGGAATTATGATACTCAGTAAATTCGATATGAGGCATGAATTCTATTTAAGGGTTGTAATTAGGAAGGAAGAAGAAAAGCTATAGAAGTAGCAGATGGAAGAAAACATGGGAGGATTGATTATTTCTTTGACATATCTTCTTGTAGAGTAACTTAAGCATGTATAGGTTTTAAACTACTAATTAAATTGCGCACACACATTAACATAATATGAATACAGTTACATAACCAAAGCAGACCTATAATTACCAGCCATCTCCAGTGAAACCAAGAAAATCTGTTAGGCATCCTAGGCATTTGTGAGAATTTATCTATGATATGATGGATATTGTCCAAATGAACTTGAACCATCTGAGAGAAATCAGACAAGTTAACTAAAATCCTACCATTTGCAGCAATATGGATGGAGCTGGAGGGTATTATGCTCAGTGAAATAAGCCAAGTGAAAATCCATTTTTAAAGCAAAACTTGCTTTAGAAACCCTTTCTTGGGAAGTCTAGTTTTTCACTGTTGTCTTCATATTCTTTTAGTATTTCCTAAGAAAAATGGCAATTTTCTAGGGGTAAAAAATACTAATGTGTTAGTTATAGTTCAAATTCAGAGTGATGGTTCAACGAAACGAGAGAACTTTGTTTTAATATATGGTGTCAGGGCAGTTAATGCAAGGGTTTGATTTGTTCTTTGTGATACTGATTTATTTTTTTGGAGGCTTTCTAGGAAGAGAAAGTAAATCTTAAGTTTCAATCTTATTTTTAAAGTTTATTTTTTAAAATTGACAATATAAAAAGAAAATCAACAATATAGGTACTATGATATAGTACAAAAATCTGGAGAAAGTATAAACATTGACAATTGAATCATCCTGTATACCCTAGTTAGCCATCCAGTTGCTGTCTTGAAGTCAGTTTCTTTCTTTTTCTACTTAAGATTCAGTGTAACTGGCTTATTTTATGTTTCCAGGAAAGACTGAGAGAAACATGGCTTATTGACCAGGAGAACTCTAAGCAGTCTTTTACGAGCCTGCTTTGGTACATTTCTGAAAATGTAACAGCCTGAATGTGGAGATGAAAGGGAGAAGGTAGAGTTTTGTTACTGGGGGATACATCTTTCTGGTTGATCATTGGCTCAGCGACCATTTGGCAGTGATCTCTTTTTCTCAGTGCAGGCTTTTTTGAACATGATTTTGTAATCTGGTTTCTCTGGATCTTTTAATTAGACTTACATTTCCCTATTCCCTTTCTTTTTTTAATGTGATAATAAGCAGAAATTGCCTGTTTTACCACCAGAACATATACTTTATTAGCTGCATTATATACTTGGTTTAATTTCCAGTTGCCTGTGATACTAACAGAGGGATTCTAATGCTTCATTCCTTTCAGCCACTGCTTTTTTTAATTACCCCAATTCTCACTTTTTCTTCTATGTCTCCTATTAATGGACCTTATGTTTAACTTAAAAAAAAAAAACACCATTAAAGGATTTGGCTGGCAGCGATGGTAAATGTCGTAAGATGTTTTATTTTGGACAACTGGTTACCAAGACTGGACATATGTTGGCAGCAATAGATGAAAACAATATTTGGTCTTTTTGTATGGCATTGATCTTTTATACTGTAATTGAATCTATCAAGTATATCATGCATGGGAAATAAAATAACCTTTTCCCTGCGTGTAAAGCACTGAGATGATGGAGGGGATTATTCTTTTACTCTTTATGCCTTTAGTTTTCACTAAATGCCATCTTGATGGGGGAGTCAGCAAATAAAAGTTAAGTCAGAAAACAACTTCACATATGCTACCATGTGATAGGTGGACTAGTTGTTTCTTCCCAATTTGTCTTAATAACAAAAATACTGTATCCATAACCATATTTACCACAAGTCTTTGATTTCTCATCTTGCAATTTTTGTTGTGATCATTAAATTATAGCTAAAGATGATTCCATTTGTGGCATTATCATACACACAATAATGGATATTGCTATAAATGTATTATTCGGCTAAAAAGTCATATTCTCTCGACACTTACTTTCTAGGTAAAAACATGCTGGAATAAACCGCCAGCTACCTAGATAATACGGATATTCAAATAGTTAAATTGTGGCCAAATCCTTTCTTTTCTTTCCAGCAAAAGGATAATCACACAACTCTTAGTTTCTCAAGGTTTTTACAAGGGACTTTAGCAAGAACTACAATGAGCTGGCATTTTTGAGAATTTTCTTTTTTTTTGAGAAGATGGGTTTTTATTTCTTCTTTAAAAAATAAATAAATACAATGAATACACTGGCAAAGAGTGTTTTTGATATATGTAATTACTGAAGCTGCTCTCTCCCATCATGTCTCATTTGTACTTAAGAATTTTTATATTTAGCCTTTCCTTGCTATTTTTAGTAACAACTGGGAGCCTCACAGCAAACGTGGTTTTAAATTGACTTGTATAGGACCATTGTATAGTTTTTCTGTTGTTTTATTTTTAGGTGTTGTTGGAGTTTTTAAGTTAAACTGATTGGTTGTAGATTTGTCAGTTATATTAAAAACCTATAATTTTGACAAAACTTAAAATTTGTTTTCATTTTCATTTTGTTTATTTTGCAGCTAATGTGGATTCCTAGATCTGTAAGTCAGGATACAAGTATACTTTTTTAATTTGGTGGCAATTTTTCATTTATCATACTTCCTGAAAGGAGGATACAGTTGAAATACCATAATTCACTGATTCTAAATTGCCAGTGATTGTAAGATGCATTGATATTTTCTGTGGTACCTGGAAAGAAAAATACTTCCTATTAAACTTGCATGCTATTGATTACAAAAGGCAACCCAGTTTGAGGTGTTAATGTAAAAAATTTCAACTTACCCTTGATGAATTATGCTGTTATTATCACCTTAAATTTGCACAAGGCTTTGTAGATGCACTTATACATATGTCATCTGATTTTATCTTCAAACTAAAATTGATGATTGGATTCACCAGTTTTCAGATGAGGAAACTGAATTTCACAGAGATTGAAAGTTTGTGCAATCCTACATCAAGCAAGTCTTTGAGCACCATTTGTCCAACGCCATTTGCTCACTTTATGTCTCTGTTGTCACGTTTGGCAATTCTTCCAATATTTCAAACTTTTTCATTAATATTGTATTTGTTATGGTGATCTGTGACAAACTTGCCAAAAGCTTAGATGTGGTTAGAATTTTTTTTAACAATAAAGTATTTTTTAATTAAGACATATACATTTTTTAATGCTATGCTACACTTAATAAACCACAGTATATGTAAACATAACTTTTATATGCACTGGGAAACCAAAAAATTCATTCGACTCAGTTCATTTCAGTGTTCACCTTGGTGTAGTCACTGAGCTAAGGTGTGCCTGTATGTTTTGAAAGCAGTTTTATCTGTTTATGCTGCCTGTGTAAAATGTTCAGGAATAGTAATGACTTGATATCTATAAAGTGATTTAGAGAAGGTTAAGTATTTGTCTGTAGATGTACTGTTTTTGGTAAATCAAAGTCTTACCTGCTTCTTTCCCAGGTGGTGGCTAATGCTGTAGCAGCATTATCTGAAATCAGTGAATCTCACCCAAATAGCAACTTACTTGATCTGAACCCACAGAACATTAATAAGCTGCTGACAGCCCTGAATGAGTGCACCGAATGGGGCCAGATTTTCATCCTGGACTGCCTGTCTAATTACAACCCTAAAGATGACCGGGAGGCTCAGAGGTCAGTCTGTTTGCCTGCATGGTGTCTGGGAGTCTTGTCTGATTGAACAAGTTCTAGTGTCTGTATGAGAATAAGGGTCTGTTATGTTGAGGAAGATCAGTGGCTTATGGGATAGATACTGCTGTCCTCATGGTACTTTCTCACTCAATTTAGGAACATTTTAGGTGGTGGAGTAAACCATGAAAAAATAGCTTTTCTTAAGAGGTGTGTGTTTTTCATTTCTTATGTGAGTAGTACAGTTGATTTCTCCTAAAATCTGCCTCATCGTGGTCTCACATCTCCATACAGCGGTTCCTGGCCATTTGACAAACAACGGCTTCCGAGTGTCTCTTTGTAGTGACAAACTTTCATTCTGTCAGGTACATAGTAAGTGGCTTGATAGGAGTTAATTGATCTGAGCTATACCTGTAATTTAGTACTAGGTAAAGTGTGTTTTCACCACACACAAAAAAAAGTTCTATATTTAATGTATTACATTAGATACAGAAATCAAAGCACTCTGAATTTAGAGAAGATTTTTGAAGGTACCCCTGGGTTGTTCTCAGCCCTTTCCTCCTTTCATGTTACAAATTTTCTCTATCAGAAATGAACTCCTAAATTTCATATACACATACACACATTTTAGTTTACAGAGTTGCAATCTTCACCAATTTTTATGAGCATTTTATGTATATAGGCATTGTAGTAGGCAAAGTACTTCTGAAGAAATATTGGCTTTGTATTAAAGCTGACATATTTTAATTATAGTAGATAAGAACCTTCCTTGCCTGGCTGAAGCTCAAGCTACTATAACGTAAGTGCTCTTCACTTGTCTGGGAAATTGTTCCCTCTGGACTTCACTAAAGTTTACCTTGATAGATCCTTTCACTCATTGAAAGTACAAGTATCTTCTGGAAAGAACTTTACGATGGTAAAATTTTATTCTCTGTTGGTCATTGACATCTCACACTTAATTACTCAGCAAATATTTTTTGAGTCCATGCTCTTCTAGGCACTGAGAATATAGAAGTGGTTAGGCAGAAATTGTAGCCCTCCTGGAACACTTATTCTGAGGGATGGGGACAGAAGTACATATAATATGTATATATAGTAGAATACGTAATATGTCAGATGATGATAAGTGCTAAGAAGAAAGGTAAAGCAGGGAAAGATCTAAGTGATACTGGCCACTTGGGACTAGTCAGGGAAGGCCTTCCTGAGCAGGTGGCATTTGTATAAAGACCTGAAGGAGGTCAAGGAGTTCAGTCAAGTAGATCTAGGAGGAAAGGAGAGAAACAGTTTATCTTGTATCCTTAACTGAATATAAGTAACTAGCTGCTATGTTGCATAAAAGCTATAAAAGGTTTATTTCTGAAGAACGCTCAAAAGATAATTCAGTATTCAAGATTTCGGAAGGCATTTAAGTGTACGTGGCAGGAGCTAAGACAAGGAGAAAAGGTTGAGAGAATATTTCAGTGCTTCTGTTAAAAAAACAAACAAAAACCCTTTGAAAGATTCTCTTATTATCCTGAAGGCAAGCGGTTGGGTAGTTTTCTCTGTCAACCCACTTCTTCCTGCATCTTACAATGAAACCTTCAGCCACACTTGGATGGTATCTCTCACTATGAAATAATACTCAGAATGCTTAATTTGACTTCCTGTAGGTTAGGGAGAAATAGGCTGTGAGGCAGGGAGCTCTTACATAATAAGGGGACACAGAACTCTGAAAAGGAAGGTAAATAGTGTGAGCTTCAAGTGTTTGGTTTAGTAGCCAATTTCCTTCCAGTTTGAATATCCCTTATTGCTGATTTCCTAAAGTCTACCACTGTACATGCTCTGCCTGTAGTTTGCTGGCGTTGCAGTATTGGATCCCGGTTTTATTACCTGTGCTTGGAGCTTTGACTTATCTAATTGATTCTTTAATTTCTTATACTTGGGCCATGGAACTCTGACACATTATAGACTGGATTAAGCACAGAAATTATAACTCAAGATACTAATTTTCCTTTTCTGCCCTCAGCATCTGTGAGCGGGTAACTCCCCGACTATCTCATGCCAACTCAGCAGTGGTGCTTTCAGCAGTAAAAGTCCTAATGAAATTTCTAGAGTTGTTACCTAAGGACTCTGACTACTACAACATGCTGCTGAAGAAGTTGGCCCCTCCACTTGTCACTTTATTGTCTGGGGAGCCAGAGGTGCAGTATGTCGCCCTGAGGAACATCAACCTAATTGTCCAGAAAAGGTTGGGAAAAAATGAATTAGTGATGATTTAAGTGTTTATCATTTTGAATTAAACTTAATAATATCGATATATAAAGAGGCAATTGTTAAGCTGTGTTTAATGTATGGAAATGAAAATGTGTGGCAGAGCAACTTGCCCAGAGTCAGCAGGGCATTGATTTCAGAGTGTTCCTGTAATAAATGCTTGGTGTTGCTCTCCAACTGGCTTTGTTTTCTGAGGGCCTCTTAATGGTATCCTAGCTACTGCCTGCTTAATATGGTGCAGGCCATTGTCTGGAGGCAGAGTGTCATTCTTCCAGCAATTCTTTTTGGCAGTATATCTCCTGAACATTAAAAAGGATAAAATAGTCTGCCAAATAGACAGTTAAAGGGGTGTAGAAGAAGTTTGTGGGTTTTTTCCCTGGGGCGAGTGGATAGGGAGCAGAGAGGCACAGCTTAGGTATCAATACAGACTTATAGGATATATCAATACATGTCTCACCTTTCTTATCTTGGGTTTCTTCATTCCGCAGGCCTGAAATCTTGAAGCAGGAAATCAAAGTCTTCTTTGTAAAGTACAATGACCCTATCTATGTTAAACTAGAGAAGTTGGACATAATGATTCGCTTGGCATCCCAAGCCAACATTGCTCAGGTGGGACCTAAAGCAGACTCAAATTATTTATAGTGACTTAGATCTTAAGGTCTGGCTTTCAGAAAAAGGTAGACCATGAAATTGCTGTTTGAAAATCCTTAGTCATTGTCCACTTCTGGATTTTTACCAGGTTCTAGCAGAACTGAAGGAGTATGCCACAGAGGTGGATGTTGACTTTGTTCGCAAAGCTGTGCGGGCCATTGGAAGGTGCGCCATCAAGGTGGAGGCAAGTGTCTGGTGGTAGCTCTGATGACATTAGGGGATTCTGAGTATTCACTCCTTTCTTTAAAATACATTTTTAAAGTTTATTAAAGGAATAAAGGACATAGTTAAAATATTAAAGAACTTTAAGTAAAAAGCAGGTATCCCTGGTCCCTCCCCTGCCAGAGAGAATCATTTTGACTGTTTCTCATTTTAGTTATTTTGATTACTTCTGTATCTCTAATATGCTCATGCATTATTTATTGATTTACCAATTATAGACATTGTCTATTAACTTTCTGCTATGAGATAAGCAACTTAGTTCATATATCCTACCATTCCTACTTGTACCCTCCTATTCTCTGGTATAGTTATACCATGAAATTTATGTTCCTTTATTGATTATCCTTATAAATTGAGATAATACACCTATATTTCTTGTTCTGTCAACTATAGTCCTGCAAAACTATGCAAAATGTGACTTTAAATATGTAGAGCCACCACAGTACACATAATAGTTATTTTCTTACACAGACTTCTTTTTCTCGAGTTTTATGATGGCCTCATTTTCTTGAATTGTGTGTCTTCATTCTACCCCTATCTTCAAACAGCTTTTCAGGCTTGTATCAAATCTGTATAAACATTTTGTCCTAGACCCTTTGAGCTTCCAGTCCTCTTTCCTCTCCCTTCTTCCAGTCTGGCTGATTGCTTTCTTGGCCTCTGCACAGCCATCATTTCATACAGCCTCTCTTCATTGCTGTTTCTTGTCATTGGTACGTTTTTGTAGTGTTCCCTTTTTTTGTGGTTGTAGTAGGTTCTCAGTCTGGGATATGAATGACAGTTGTTTGTTTCTGCAGTTTGAATTAAATCATCTGGGGTATTATATGGGTGATGTTCTCTTGTGTATATATAGCTTTTCAATTAAGGTGTTTACCATGCATATAGTAAGTTGCAGCCCATTTATATTAAGAATGAGATAACAGAAAGTTCACTAGGATTTCTGTGCACGTGTAGGTAGCACTTTGTATTGGCAGGTTTTCTGCTTTAGGGCAGGGAGTTGGTCTTGGTAGTCCTGGAGCCTCTCTGTGGTCTTACAGGGCCGATTGGTTTCTAGCTCGGTTGCAGCCTTCCAGTAGGTATATGAGCTACAACTTGCATTGCCCTGCTTCATCAGTCACCAGTCCTCCACTTGTTTTTCCTCATTCAGAATTAGTTTCTCAAGGTTTTTACAAGGGACTTTAGCAAGAACTACAATGAGCTGGCATTTTTGAGAATTTTCTTTTTTTTTGAGAAGATGGGTTTTTATTTCTTCTTTAAAAAATAAATAAATACAATGAATACACTGGCAAAGAGTGTTTTTGATATATGTAATTACTGAAGCTGCTCTCTCCCATCATGTCTCATTTGTACTTAAGAATTTTTATATTTAGCCTTTCCTTGCTATTTTTAGTAACAACTGGGAGCCTCACAGCAAACGTGGTTTTAAATTGACTTGTATAGGACCATTGTATAGTTTTTCTGTTGTTTTATTTTTAGGTGTTGTTGGAGTTTTTAAGTTAAACTGATTGGTTGTAGATTTGTCAGTTATATTAAAAACCTATAATTTTGACAAAACTTAAAATTTGTTTTCATTTTCATTTTGTTTATTTTGCAGCTAATGTGGATTCCTAGATCTGTAAGTCAGGATACAAGTATACTTTTTTAATTTGGTGGCAATTTTTCATTTATCATACTTCCTGAAAGGAGGATACAGTTGAAATACCATAATTCACTGATTCTAAATTGCCAGTGATTGTAAGATGCATTGATATTTTCTGTGGTACCTGGAAAGAAAAATACTTCCTATTAAACTTGCATGCTATTGATTACAAAAGGCAACCCAGTTTGAGGTGTTAATGTAAAAAATTTCAACTTACCCTTGATGAATTATGCTGTTATTATCACCTTAAATTTGCACAAGGCTTTGTAGATGCACTTATACATATGTCATCTGATTTTATCTTCAAACTAAAATTGATGATTGGATTCACCAGTTTTCAGATGAGGAAACTGAATTTCACAGAGATTGAAAGTTTGTGCAATCCTACATCAAGCAAGTCTTTGAGCACCATTTGTCCAACGCCATTTGCTCACTTTATGTCTCTGTTGTCACGTTTGGCAATTCTTCCAATATTTCAAACTTTTTCATTAATATTGTATTTGTTATGGTGATCTGTGACAAACTTGCCAAAAGCTTAGATGTGGTTAGAATTTTTTTTAACAATAAAGTATTTTTTAATTAAGACATATACATTTTTTAATGCTATGCTACACTTAATAAACCACAGTATATGTAAACATAACTTTTATATGCACTGGGAAACCAAAAAATTCATTCGACTCAGTTCATTTCAGTGTTCACCTTGGTGTAGTCACTGAGCTAAGGTGTGCCTGTATGTTTTGAAAGCAGTTTTATCTGTTTATGCTGCCTGTGTAAAATGTTCAGGAATAGTAATGACTTGATATCTATAAAGTGATTTAGAGAAGGTTAAGTATTTGTCTGTAGATGTACTGTTTTTGGTAAATCAAAGTCTTACCTGCTTCTTTCCCAGGTGGTGGCTAATGCTGTAGCAGCATTATCTGAAATCAGTGAATCTCACCCAAATAGCAACTTACTTGATCTGAACCCACAGAACATTAATAAGCTGCTGACAGCCCTGAATGAGTGCACCGAATGGGGCCAGATTTTCATCCTGGACTGCCTGTCTAATTACAACCCTAAAGATGACCGGGAGGCTCAGAGGTCAGTCTGTTTGCCTGCATGGTGTCTGGGAGTCTTGTCTGATTGAACAAGTTCTAGTGTCTGTATGAGAATAAGGGTCTGTTATGTTGAGGAAGATCAGTGGCTTATGGGATAGATACTGCTGTCCTCATGGTACTTTCTCACTCAATTTAGGAACATTTTAGGTGGTGGAGTAAACCATGAAAAAATAGCTTTTCTTAAGAGGTGTGTGTTTTTCATTTCTTATGTGAGTAGTACAGTTGATTTCTCCTAAAATCTGCCTCATCGTGGTCTCACATCTCCATACAGCGGTTCCTGGCCATTTGACAAACAACGGCTTCCGAGTGTCTCTTTGTAGTGACAAACTTTCATTCTGTCAGGTACATAGTAAGTGGCTTGATAGGAGTTAATTGATCTGAGCTATACCTGTAATTTAGTACTAGGTAAAGTGTGTTTTCACCACACACAAAAAAAAGTTCTATATTTAATGTATTACATTAGATACAGAAATCAAAGCACTCTGAATTTAGAGAAGATTTTTGAAGGTACCCCTGGGTTGTTCTCAGCCCTTTCCTCCTTTCATGTTACAAATTTTCTCTATCAGAAATGAACTCCTAAATTTCATATACACATACACACATTTTAGTTTACAGAGTTGCAATCTTCACCAATTTTTATGAGCATTTTATGTATATAGGCATTGTAGTAGGCAAAGTACTTCTGAAGAAATATTGGCTTTGTATTAAAGCTGACATATTTTAATTATAGTAGATAAGAACCTTCCTTGCCTGGCTGAAGCTCAAGCTACTATAACGTAAGTGCTCTTCACTTGTCTGGGAAATTGTTCCCTCTGGACTTCACTAAAGTTTACCTTGATAGATCCTTTCACTCATTGAAAGTACAAGTATCTTCTGGAAAGAACTTTACGATGGTAAAATTTTATTCTCTGTTGGTCATTGACATCTCACACTTAATTACTCAGCAAATATTTTTTGAGTCCATGCTCTTCTAGGCACTGAGAATATAGAAGTGGTTAGGCAGAAATTGTAGCCCTCCTGGAACACTTATTCTGAGGGATGGGGACAGAAGTACATATAATATGTATATATAGTAGAATACGTAATATGTCAGATGATGATAAGTGCTAAGAAGAAAGGTAAAGCAGGGAAAGATCTAAGTGATACTGGCCACTTGGGACTAGTCAGGGAAGGCCTTCCTGAGCAGGTGGCATTTGTATAAAGACCTGAAGGAGGTCAAGGAGTTCAGTCAAGTAGATCTAGGAGGAAAGGAGAGAAACAGTTTATCTTGTATCCTTAACTGAATATAAGTAACTAGCTGCTATGTTGCATAAAAGCTATAAAAGGTTTATTTCTGAAGAACGCTCAAAAGATAATTCAGTATTCAAGATTTCGGAAGGCATTTAAGTGTACGTGGCAGGAGCTAAGACAAGGAGAAAAGGTTGAGAGAATATTTCAGTGCTTCTGTTAAAAAAACAAACAAAAACCCTTTGAAAGATTCTCTTATTATCCTGAAGGCAAGCGGTTGGGTAGTTTTCTCTGTCAACCCACTTCTTCCTGCATCTTACAATGAAACCTTCAGCCACACTTGGATGGTATCTCTCACTATGAAATAATACTCAGAATGCTTAATTTGACTTCCTGTAGGTTAGGGAGAAATAGGCTGTGAGGCAGGGAGCTCTTACATAATAAGGGGACACAGAACTCTGAAAAGGAAGGTAAATAGTGTGAGCTTCAAGTGTTTGGTTTAGTAGCCAATTTCCTTCCAGTTTGAATATCCCTTATTGCTGATTTCCTAAAGTCTACCACTGTACATGCTCTGCCTGTAGTTTGCTGGCGTTGCAGTATTGGATCCCGGTTTTATTACCTGTGCTTGGAGCTTTGACTTATCTAATTGATTCTTTAATTTCTTATACTTGGGCCATGGAACTCTGACACATTATAGACTGGATTAAGCACAGAAATTATAACTCAAGATACTAATTTTCCTTTTCTGCCCTCAGCATCTGTGAGCGGGTAACTCCCCGACTATCTCATGCCAACTCAGCAGTGGTGCTTTCAGCAGTAAAAGTCCTAATGAAATTTCTAGAGTTGTTACCTAAGGACTCTGACTACTACAACATGCTGCTGAAGAAGTTGGCCCCTCCACTTGTCACTTTATTGTCTGGGGAGCCAGAGGTGCAGTATGTCGCCCTGAGGAACATCAACCTAATTGTCCAGAAAAGGTTGGGAAAAAATGAATTAGTG